TGTGTGTGTGTGTGTTTATATGTACTTATGTTTGTGTGTTCATATTTGTAAGTGAGATTACAAAAAGTGAGAGGAAAAAAACGAAAGAGAAGAAAGAATAACAGAGGATGAAGGAGAAAGAGAAACTAAACCCACGTAGATAAAAATAATATAAAACTAAGAACGAAGGAATAAAGAGAGAGAGAGAGAGAGAGAGCAAATACCACCATAACTCAACTCTCTTTTCCACAATCACAGTATATAAACAAACAAACAAGGCTGACCTCCACCTCAGACCACTCCACTAGCTGGGTATAATAATAGCATCTACACAAGTTATATATATATATATACAGTACGTATTAGTAATGAATAATCGTTGTCAGATAGAGATTGAATTATATGTAAGACGAAATTAGCATCCCTGTTAACAACAACAACAACAACAGTAATAATAATAATAATAATAATAATAATAATAATAATAATAATAATAATAATAATAATAATAATAATAATAATAATAATAATAATAATAATAATAATAATAATAATAATAATTCGTAGTAGTTGTATTAGCTGTATTGTTCTTTAGTAATCGTAAAGAGTCAGTAAAGAAAAGTAGAACGCACAATAAAATTACAAAGAAGAAAAGAAAGATGATGATGATGATGAAGCAGAAGAAACAAGCTTCAATATGGACACGTAAGAAGATCTGTAATAGATTCTCTGCATGCAAGAGTTGTCAACAGTGAGTCACACACACACACATGCAGGCAAGTAAACATACACACAACCACACACACACTCAAACATACACAAACAAATACAAACACAAACAAGTAGAGACAATATAAAGCGAGCAAGCAAAACACGCTACAAACACACACACGCAAGCGAGCAAAACAAAGAGGCAAACACACTAAAGCAAGCATAACAAACAAGCAAACAAAGACACATACAAACACACACACGCAAGCGAGCAAAACAAAGAGGCAAACACACTAAAGCAAGCATAACAAACAAGCAAACAAAGACACATACAAACACACACACGCAAGCGAGCAAAACAAAGAGGCAAACACACTAAAGCAAGCATAACAAACAAGCAAACAAAGACACATACAAAACACACACACGCAAGCGAGCAAAACAGAGGCAAAACACTAAAAAGCAAGTATAACAAACAAGCAACAAAGACACATACAAAACACACACGCAAGCGAGCAAAACAAAGAGGCAAACACACTAAAGCAAGCATAACAAACAAGCAAACAAAGACACATACAAACACACACACGCAAGCGAGCAAAACAAAGAGGCAAACACACTAAAGCAAGCATAACAAACAAGCAAGCAAAGACACACACACACACACATAAACCATAATCACAGGGACCAACATAAAGAAAAACCACATGAAAAAAAACACAATAAAAACAGCTTTACATTGATATGTCTACCATCGGCTGTTTACCTCGTGAATGTGTTTGAGTTTGTTTTTGTTTCCCTTTGTTTGTTGGTCCTTCTTATTCTGTGTTTTTTTATGTTTGTCTTAGTGTTTTTTTTTGGGGGGGGAGGGAGGGGAGGGGAGAGATGATATAGTATGGTTTATTACATACTGGATAAAAGGGATTAGGATATAATAACCTAACCTAACCTAACCTATTCTATCTTATAACTTAGTCTATCCTTTATTAACCTAACCTAACCTAACCTAACCTAACCTAACCTAACCTAACCTAACCTAACCTAACCTAACCTAACCTAACCTAAACTAACCTAACCTAACCAAAACATGGGGGTAGAGTGAGTCCTATAGTCTTTAATGGATTCTAGTTATAATGGGTTCAAATCTTATAAAAGGTCTCAATCATAATGGGTTACAATTCGAAATGATAAGGTTAAGCTGGGTTGGGGCTAGGGGGGGGGGGTGGTGGAGGGCTATCATTACATAACTTTCAGCCAGTCGTTCTTTATTTTACTGAAGCTGAAGACACAAGCTCTGTAAAACTTCAGATCAAGGCCCTGAAGGAGTTCTTGAGGGTATCATGGCTACTTTTTAGACAGACAGACAGACAGAGATAGATAGAGAGACAGACAAAGATAGATAGATAGATAGATAGATAGAGAGAGAGAGAGAGAGAGAGAGAGAGAGAGAGACGCGTCTTGGTGGATTATTCTTATGTTTGTAATGGTCAGTAAATTAACTTCTTTAGGCTTCGACGGGGTGAATGAAATATGCCTTAAAAAGTGTCAAAATAACATGGTAGGATATGCTATAATATGGCTGCCTTAGATATAATGTTATAATATGGCTGCCTTAGATATAATGTTATAATATGGCTGCCTTAGATATAATGTTATAATATGGCTGCCTTAGATATAATGTTATAATATGGCTGCCTTAAATATAATGTTATAATATGGCTGCCTTAGATATAATGTTAATATATGGCTGCCTTAAATATAATGTTACAATATGGCTGCCTTAGATATAATGTTATTATATGGCTGCCTTAGATATAATGTTATAATAATTACTGCCTTAGTAATATTAGAATATGGTTGGTAACTTTCGTCAATCACCATTATAGATAAACTGTATTTAGGCTATTTATACGTGGGCAGTTTGTGTTCATACTGCTACATGTACAGTAGTGTATCAGTGTAGCAGTAGGTAGCAGTGTCAGTGTTCTTGTTGACATAATGGTTGTTGTTGTTACTACTACTATTATATAACAATTATTATTATTAGTATTGTCATCACTGCCCTAAGACTGTACTCACTACCACATAACAATCTCTCTGTCTTTTCTGTTGCCTCTGAATAAATGTTTATATTTGAATTTAAAGAAGCTTCGTAATTTCTTTGTCATAAGATACTGAAGTATTTTTGTCGTGTCCCTAGAGGGTGTGTTGCCTCACAATGTTGTTGTTTGTATTGGTGGAGAGACTGTTGATGTTAGCTGAGTGAGAGACTGTTGGTGTTAGTTGAGGGAGAGACTGTTGGTGTTAGTTGAGGGAGAGACTGTTGGTGTTAGCTGAGGGAGAGACTGTTGGTGTTAGTTGAGGGAGAGACTGTTGGTGTTAGTTGATGGAGAGACTGTTGGTGTTAGTTGAGGGAGAGACTGTTGGTGTTAGTTGAGGGAGAGACTGTTGGTGTTAGCTGAGTGAGAGACTGTTGGTGTTAGCTGAGGGAGAGACTGTTGGTGTTAGTTGAGGGAGAGACTGTTGGTGTTAGTTGATGGAGACTGTTGGTGTTAGTTGAGGAGAGACTGTTGGTGTTAGTTGAGGAGAGACTGTTGGTGTTAGCTGAGTGAGAGACTGTTGGTGTTAGTTGAGGAGAGACTGTTGGTGTTAGTTGAGGGAGAGACTGTTGGTGTTAGTTGAGGAGGCTGTTGGTGTTAGTTGGGGAAGACTGTTGGTGTTAGCTGAGAGAGACTGTTGGTGTTAGTTGAGGAGAGACTGTTGGTGTGTTAGACTGAGGAGCTGTTGGTGTTAGTTGAGGAGGGAGAGACTGTTGGTGTTAGTTGAGGGAGAGACTGTTGGTGTTAGTTGAGGGAGAGACTGTTGGTGTTAGCTGAGGGAGAGACTGTTGGTGTTAGTTGAGGGAGAGACTGTTGGTGTTAGCTGAGGGAGAGACTGTTGGTGTTAGTTGAGGGAGAGACTGTTGGTGTTAGTTGAGGGAGAGACTGTTGGTGTTAGCTGAGTGAGAGACTGTTGGTGTTAGTTGAGGGAGAGACTGTTAGTGTTAGCTGAGTGAGAGACTGTTGGTGTTAGTTGAGGGAGAGACTGTTGGTGTTAGCTGTTGTAGGATGTGTGTGCGTGTCATGTCTAATAATAATAATAATAATAATAATAATAATAATAATAATAATAATAATAATAATAAAAGACATTAATGTGTTGATAAACTGTTAAGTCTTTATTTAGCCAAGCAGTCCGTTATACACGCTGCAACATCCTACATTGAGTCAGCGAGCCGTAACCACCGCCACTGTCACCGTCTTGGGCACCGCCGTGGAATTGGTCACGTCACTCCTGGCTGGTGAATCAGGCCAAATACTTTCTGCGCGTGTGCCGGACCTGCGCGACGAACTGTGGTGAAACACGACGAAACCCAGAGAAACATGTGGTCACTGGTTGGGCGGCTGTTACTATCCGAGTGTGTGTGTGTGTGTGATAATCGTCCCTTAAAATATCGGTCAGCCTCGCTGTTCAATAATGCTTCATTCATATCGCACTCGAATCGGTGAATTTCCATAAAATCAGGATAAGGGCCGTATATAATTTGACTTTTGGAACTATGGTCGTTAAACGTTGTGAAAATTGAATACCTCTAATTTGCATTATTTTCATTGGGGAAGGTTCTCTCTACAGTTGTATAATACGGGAGGTTGAGGCGCACCTCCAGACAACTCATGACACGATAGTGAGCACGAAGATCCGAGTCGCTGTTATCAGCATTATGGCCTTGAAGCAACATATAACGGGATTGTCGAGTAGTAGTAAGTCAAGAGTAGGTCGGTTAGTACTTGGCAGGGCAGCCGCAGCCAGGGCTTGTTTTACACTAAGTATTTTGGAGCGTGCAACATCTAACCAACAAAATATAGCGTATCACATCGGCAGCAGAGCTGCGGCGCCTAACACGTACCTCCTCACACCACCCGGACGCGCAAGTCATGGTGGCTGGGCCTCACGCAAAATATACCAGTTTTGCGGACTGTTTTGATGGGAATTAAAGCCTAAATGTATGCAATATTATATGCAACATATTTTTGATGTATGTATATGATATGTAGTAATGTAACAGCTATGTAATTGTCTAAATAAGGTGGTTATCGTAGCCGTGGAATCGAATGAGCCACGTGGTAATGTTATGTCTCAGGGCGTCGACCAATCAGAGGCAGAACCGGCACTAAGCTCCGCCCAACAAAATCTAGCGGGCCAATAGGAGCGTCGTAACTATCTTATCCCTTCTGGCGCGGGATATGCCACTCCTCCCGACGGCACCAAAACAGAGGCGCTTGAAACCCTGAGTTCCAGTTGCCAAGTCGGTTGCGACAAGAGAACTAGAATGGAAGACTTGTGAAGCCTGAAGTGGCAGCGGCCAGCGACGCAGCGGTAGTGCCAGCAAGTTAGTGTCTGTCACGGAGACGACAAGGGACATGGACGGAGCGCGGCTGTGATCGACGTGACACGAGGTGTGAGAGTGGATGACACTCCACGCAGAGCTGGCAGGCGGAGGAGGAGGACAGCGGCTGCAGCAGACCTGTAGCTGAGTATTACTAGACACCCTTAGAAGAGCAGAGACAAGACACTTTACTGTGACGAAGAGCGAAACCCAAGACAGTGGACAGATGGTTAAGATGCCCCAGCGACAGCGGCACAACACAGGCGGGGGTGCCGGCGGGGCCGAGCTGCCCCTGCTGGACCCTGGCGTGATCGAGGCCCACAACGCCGTGACCACCACCCGCTGCTGCGTGCCCCTGGCGTGCGGCTGTCTCCGGGGCTACGAGCCCATCAACCTGGATTCCCCCACGGGCTGTGTCCGCGTTCATTGTAACAACGAGCACTGTACGCTGGGCAACCTCATGCACGGCGAGTGCTTCTCTGCATGGGAGGCGCACGTGCTGGCCTTTCTTAGGTCATGCGGCCGTGCTCGATCCTGGTCTGAGAAGCAACGTCTGCAGAATTTGTGGACAAAACGCGGGTACGACCTGGCGTACAGGGCGTGCTCCTGCTTATGTAGCCGCGGACACCTCCGCAAAGACTTAGATTGGACACCCCCAACAGAATCAGACGATGAAAATAGAACCAGAAAGAAGAAAAAGAACCGTCAGAACCAGAAGCCCACACTGGTGACGGTAGGCACCGGTGCCGCCGTCAATAACAACAACCCCATTACCAATAATAACAACACAGTTATCACCACCCTCAATTCCACTCCGGCCGGCGACGTCCTTGGACAACCGTGCCAACGTCACCGTAACAACTCCATCTCCTCGACGGGGTCCTCGCCGCCCTCAGACGCGCCCACCAGCCCTCACCACGCTGCCCTTGGCAAGCGCCGATCCAGAGACTTCTTCTCCGACAGAAGCAGGTAAGACCTCACCTCTCGTGCATGACCCTTGGTGCTGGCCCTTTGTTGCTGTCTCCCAGCAACACACGAATTGTTCAACTTACTATTGTACGAGTCTTAGTGGACACATCTCACGCGAGCTATAATGCTTTAATTATGCATAGTTCTAACACTGAACTGGTATCGTAAAACAGTAGTAATTATATAACAATATTTGTCACCGTGTCAGTTTCTACCTTTTAATATTATCAAGTTATACGAATTAATACACGAACTGCATGTTGTAAGACTTCTCTCTGTACAAAACAAGGTCTTGACTTCTTACTGCCGCTTTTCCGTGCGGTGGCCTTGAATATCTGACGTAGGGAGCCAAACCTTGACGTAACCCAACAAACCTGTCTATCATGTGTCACTCTTAAGTTGATCGAAAACTTCTCAGATGTATTTTCGTGTTTTCTAGAAGTGTGTCCTTGGTGAGGTGGAGAATATGTTAAAGAGAAGAGAACATGTAGAGAGAGAGAGAGAGAGACAGAGAATGAGAATAAGATAAAGACGAGCTTCGCGTTTAATGAGGCACCGTGGAGAGAACACCTGTAGGCTTACGAGCCGGGTATGTCATCACCACACAACACACTCTAATATGTCGTCACTGTCGCCACAACACACTCTTAAGTTGTCGTCACACCACACAACACACTCTAAGATGTCGTAACACCACACAACACATTGCACTCTAAGTTGTCGTCACACCACACAACACACTCTTAAGTTGTCACACCACAACGCACTAAGTTGTCGTCACACCACACAACACACTCTTAAGTTGTCACACCACAACGCACTAAGTTGTCGTCACACCACACAACACACTCTTTAAGTTGTCGTCGCACCACACAACTCACTAAGTTGTCGTCACACCACATAACACACTCTTAAGTTGTCACACCACAACGCACTAAGTTGTCGTCACACCACACCACACACTCTTAAGTTGTCGCACCACACACTCTAAGTTGTCGTCACACCACACAAAAAACGCTTCAAAACTAATGGTTAAAAGTGTCGTTGTGTTACCTCGCAACACACCACCAAACCCTGTGATCCTTCTAAGTGCTGCCGTTTTATCACACACAACCCCACTACTCCAACACACAACCCCACTACTCCAACACGCAACCCCACTACTCCAACACACAACCCCACTACTCCAACACACAACCCCACTACTCCAACACACAACCCCACACACAACACCACTACTCCAACACACAACCCCACTACTCCAACACACACCCACTACTCCAACACACAACCTCTCAACACACAACCCCACTACTCCAACACACAACCCACTACCCAACACACAACCCCTCTCCAACACACAACACCACTACTCCAACACACAACACCACTACTCCAACATACAACACCACTACTCCAACATACAACACCACTACTCCAACACACTACTCCAACACACAACACCACTACTCCAACATACAACAACACCACACCTTGTAATCGAGCGTCAGTCATCCCACCCAAAGGCAGCCACCCCTTCCTATTCTTCACCATATTTGCCACTATTATCCCGTGTAGTACACCTCTATTATACGTGGCCTGTACACTGTAATGCCCTCCTCCCTCCCAAGCCTCTCGTATTCACCCATTATCCCACACACACACACCTCCTTGCCTTTGTGCCTCGTAAAATGTTCGTATTATACCAAGTGCATTCCTATTCTTGGAGTTCGACGCGGCCCTCTCGTCATTATCCCTTATCGTCTTATGGGTCCATTTTTACGCACCAGTCAGTTTGGGGAGGTTTTGTGTATGCTAATTTGTCTAGGATTTATTTTAGCTTTTTTTTATGGGAGTTTTCTTGTAAAATAGTTAAGTGTTGTTTGTGGGGTTTTTTGTCGTATTGTGTTTGTCAATTATTTTTTTTTTAAATCTTTGTTGTTTCGCAGACACGTCCTCACAGCTAAAATTCCTTCATCCACACGTCCATTACAACACCAAAAAGGTTCCCTACACCAACGTCCTTTTCACAACAACAAAAAGTCCCTTCATCTCTACACGTCCTTCGATTAAAAGTTCCCTCTACACGTACACACGTCTATATCAATAATAAAGTTCCATCCACATACCCAAGTTTACTCTCAACTTCCCCACGTCCCTCACAACAAAAAGAAAAGTTCCCTTCGCATCTACACGTCCCGCAAAAAAAAAAAGTTCCTAGCGATAAAGTTTAAAAGATTTCTACCCTTGGTTATAATGATTGCCAAGAGGTGTTAGGTGGGTGAGTGAGGGCTGGGTGCCAAACCTCCCTAGTGCCCCCCAGCAGACCTTGAATTATCATGGCACTGTATTCCTGGCAGCTGGAGGGAGTGCCTGGAACATTTGTAACGATAAAGAACACAGTTACAATATATACTCGTATATATTCCTATTATGTATTTTGTATCTTCCTAATTCTATCTTTCTGTTTTAATTTCATTACCTTTTTTTGTATGTTACAAGAATGGATTATCTTTTTCACTCCTTTCGGTTGGGTGTTTCATTGCGTACTGTTTATGTCTTTGATGAAATGTGTTATTCTCATTGTTCGTAGCGTTTTGCCAATCATTCTCATAATAATGTACGTACAAGTCATTTTACCATTTTTCTTCCAGTCCTCTGCCCCTTTATACACTTTCATCCATCTACCACTTTGTACACTTTTCATCCATCTGCCACTTTATCGACTTTCATCCATCAGCCATTTTATCGACTTTAATCCATCAGTCACTTTTTTTCACTTTCATCTATCTGTCCACTTTTTACACTTCCATCCATATGCCACTTTGTGCACTTTTCATCTTAATGCCATTTTGTGCACTTTCATCCATCTGCCATTTTGTACACTTTCATCCATCTGCCACAATGTACACTTTCATCTGTCTGCCACTTTCTACCCGTCAGCCACTTTCTACACTTCATCCATCTGCTAATATGTACACTTTCATCCCTCTGCCACGTTGTACACCTCATACATCTGCCACTTTATTGACTTTCATCCAATAGCCACTTTGTTGACTTTCACCCGTCTGCCACTGTGCACTTTCCATTCATCTGCAACTGTCGACTTTCATCCCTCAGCCACTTTCTACACTTTGATCTATCTGCCACTTTAAACATTTTCATCCGTGTGCTACTTTGTACTCTTTCATCCATGAGCCACTTTGTACACTTTCATCCATCTGCCAATTTGTAAAATTTGCATCCATCAGCCACTTTGTACACTTTCATCCGTCTTCCACTTTGTATAATTTCATACGTCTGCCACTTTGTACACTCATCCGTCTGCTTTTTGTACACTTTCATCCGTCTGCCACTTTGTACACTTTTATCCGTCTGCATTTTGTACACTTGCATCCACCTGCCACTTTGCATTCGTCTTCCACTTTGTACACTTGCATCCACCTGCCACTTTGTACACTCATTCGTCTGGCGCTTTGTACACTTGCATCCACCTGCCACTTTGTACACGTTCATCCGTCTGCCACTTTGTACACTTTCATCCGTCTGCCACTTTGTACTCTCATCCGTCTGCCACTTTGTACACTTTCATCCGTCTGCCATCTTGTACACTTTCATCCGTCTGCCACTTTGTACTTTCATCCATCTGCCACTTTGTTCACTTTCACCCCGTCTGCCACTTTGTACACTCATCCATCTGCCACTGCACGCTTTCATCCGTCTGCCACTTTGTACACTTTCATCCATCTGCCACTTTGCAAACTTTCATCCGTCTGCCACTTTGTACACTTTCATCCGTCTGCCACTTTGTACACTTTCATCCGTCTGCCACTTTGTACACTTTCATCCGTCTGCCACTGTACACTTTCACCCAGTCTGCCACTTTGTACACTTTCATCCATCTGCCACTTTGCACACTTTCATCCGTCTGCCTCTTTATACACTTTCATCCATCTGCCACTTGCACACTCATCTGTCTACCACTTTGTACACTTTCATCCATCTGCCACTTTGCACACTTTCATCTCTCTGCCACTTTGTACACTTTCATCCGTCTGCCACTTTGCACACTTTCATTTGTCTGCCACATTGTACACTTTCATCCATCTGGCACTTTGTATACTTTCATTCGTCTGCCACTTTGCACACTTTCATCTGTCTGCCACATTGTACACTTTCATCCATCTGCACTTTGTATACTTTCATTCGTCTGCCACTTTGCACACTTTCATTCGTCTGCCACTTTGCACACTTTCATCTGTCTGCCACTTTGTACACTTTCATCTGTCTGCCACTTTGTACACTTTCATCTATCTGCCACTTTGTACACTTTCATCTGTCTGCCACATTGTACACTTTCATCCATCTGGCACTTTGTATACTTTCATCCATCTGCCACTTTGTACACTTTCATCTGTCTGCCACATTGTACACTTTCATCCATCTGGCACTTTGTATACTTTCATTCGTCTGCCACTTTGCACACTTTCATCTGTCTACCACTTTGTACACTTTCATCCATCTGCCACTTTGTACACTTTCACCTGTCTGCCACTTTGTACACTTTCATCCGTCTGCCACTTTGCACACTTTCATCTGTCTGCCACATTGTACACTTTCATCCATCTGGCACTTTGTATACTTTCATCCATCTGCCACTTTGTACACTTTCATCTGTCTGCCACTTTGTACACTTTTAACCTCTAGTTGTGTGTTCCTTTCATGTCTTTCTCATTTATGTCGTCCTTAACTTCCACCATAAATTTTCCTGCCTCTCAATTATTCATTAAACCACTCCCCTAGTAGAGCTCTCTCTCTCTCTCTCTCTCTCTCTCTCTCTCTCTCTCTCTCTCTCTCTCTCTCTCTCTCTCTCTCTCTCTCTCTCTCTCTCTCTCTCTCGTTGACATTGCATGACCTCACACTCCCACGTCATAGGTCAATCCACATTATTACCATCTACACCTAAATCTTTGTTGTTACTCAGGTGTGTTACTGTACAG